TCTACCTGGGACACACCTGAGGGAGCGGCACCCTGAGGGGGGAGGGGGTCTACTGCAGCAGCACCTGGCGCGAGGAATAGAGGCGGGGGAGGGAGCGGGGCAGTGCGGTAGGTGAAGAGTCGGTAGAACGGTACCGACTCGTCAAAGGTGACGTTCTGAGAGGCGAGGACACGGCGCGAGGGTGCGTGGTAAAACTGCCATCCAGACGCGTCCGGGACAAAGCCGAGGAAGACGCAGGGAACAGCACGGGAGGAGAGCTTGTCCGCAGACGTATCGCGGACAAAAGCCCGAGATCCCCAGACCCGGAAATGTGACGCATCGCCAACCTCTCCCATCCAGCTCAGTGTCGGGGAAGTCTCCGGCAAGGAGACCCGGGGCCAGAGGTTGAGCTGATGCGCAGCGTATCGGACTACAAACGGCCACAGAAAGTGGGGGGCAGCCGCATGGATCAAGGAGGTACGTGCGACCTCCATGACCAAGCCAATGCAGCGCTCAGCAACCCTATTCTGCTGTGGAGAGGCCGGAAGCGTGAACGACTGGCGGATGCTGTGCTCCGCACAGTAGGCTGCCAAGAGGTCAGAGGAGAACTCACCACCTCTGTCAGAGTGCAAGCGCAGGACAGGGAAGTCTGAGTGGAAACGCTCGCTGAGCTGGAGACGAGAAGCGCGGATCCAAGGGATCAAAACATCAGGGACCTCACCCTTGGTGCGCAAGGGGAAGACCGTGGTGTAGCGCGAGTAGTCGTCAACAACTATCAGGAAGTACCTCTCCTGACCCTGACCACGGACGCGGGCGGGGCCCCACACGTCCATGTGGAGCGTCTGTAAGGGAGCAGTTGTTTGGGGAAACGAGGAGTGAGGAGCGGCGCGCTGCCGCCCCTCGACACAGGGAAGACAGGGAGGAGCAGGAGAGGGTGGGAGGGGAGGGAGAACCCTGGGAAGACCAGAGACAAGGTACCGCTTCTGCATTGCCGGAAGGCATTGCACGGACGGGTGACCAAGGCGGTGGTGCCAGAGGACCGTCTCGTGCGCCAGAGAGCGGCACGAGCAGGGGGCAGACAGCTGACCTGACGGAGACGCAGACGCAGCTACTTGAGGGGACTCAGTAGTCAGTGTATACAGGTCCGAAGCATGCTTAGTGGACTCGCAGCACCCCCAGTGTCAAGACCCTCAGAACCAGCACCCCCAGAACCAGCACCCCTAGAGTCAGCAACCTCAGGACCCGCACCTCCAGAGTCCGGACCCCCAGTGTCACCACCCCCAGCAGCACCAAAGTCCACAGGTACAGGCTGTGGAGGCGGCAAAGACGGCCGAGGTGGAAAACCCGGGGTCTCCAAGCGCGGGGAGCGGCGAGCGGCCGCCGTGTCGTCAACATCAGGGTCACCCCGCGCAACTGGGCCACGGGTGTCAAACAAGACCTCCAAAGGCTCAACCAAGGGGGGTGGATTGATCTGAGACACACATGAGGGAGCAGAACCCTGTGGGGGGAGAGGATAGAACGGGGGGGGACCTGGGACCATGAAGACGGGCGGCGGGGAGAGTGGGGAAGACGCGTGCGGGTGGAGACAGTAGAAGCAGACCGGCTCGTCAAAGGTGACGTCCTGTGAGGACAGGACGCGGCTCGATGCAGGGTGGTAAAACTGCCAGGGCGGGGCATCGGTGGGGAAGCCAAGGAAGACACAGAGGAGAGTGCGAGGAGAGAGCTTGCTTGCAGTGGTATCGCGGACAAGAGAGAGTGCGCCCCATACTCGAAACGCCGATGCATCGCCAACCTCCCCCGTCCAACGCAGTGTAGGCGAGATTTCTGGCCCAGAGATACGGGGCCAGAGGTTGAGCTGATGCGCAGCGTATCGGACCGCAACCGGCCACAGAAAATGGGGAGCAGCCGCATGGATCATAGAGGTGCCAGCAACCTCCATGACCAGGCCAATGCGACGCACAGCCGCATGGATCATGTAACCTACGGCCACACGTTGTCGGCCGCACCCACGCATTGTCGCTTGCCGGGCGCGCTACTAACAGTCAACGGCGACGCAATGCACGGCTTCGACGAGCCTTCACCACCGCCAAGAACTAGCTCCAGAGATGGGTGTGGCTCCCACACCTTCGGTGACTTCTTAGGCTCGAAAGGATACACGGTTCCGACGAGACATTCTCGAGATGCCTTATGAGGTGGCTGCGAGATGGGAACGCCGTAATTCTCTCGCAGGCGTCGTAACACTCCCAGGGCCATTTTTGGAGGTACCGTGCAACAAGTGAGAGAATGGAGAAAACGAAAGGGACCCCTTGGGAAAACACGAACCACACCAAGCCCCCTACTGAGCAATTCCCGCACACCACGGGAAATGCATGGGTGTTGCTGCAGCACAACAGCGACTGCAATGTGATACTTATGACGGCACGAAACACACTTGGCGCGCTGCTTGACACCAATGGCAATAGGCGTGGCATGGTGTGGCTAGATTTGGGGATGCATTGGCGCAACTGTGGCTCAAACAACCAATTGGACGAACAGGCGTGCCGCCCACAAGATTTTTCTGTGTTGCGCGTGGTCGATAGCTACAAAACTGGCAGTGGGACCGTGGTGAAACGTGTCTATACGCGATGTGTGGGCCAATCCGCAATAAGAAACGTTTCGGTATCAGTGTACGGTACTTGCCGTGATACCCTGATACCGCTAGGGTAATCTAATTCTTTATCAGTGTATATCACATGTCAGAATATTATCTTATTGTTCTAGCCTGTAGTGGGGTGCTCTATAGCGAGTACAACCCTTCTAGGGTTTGCTATTTGTATCCTCATTCTTGCTAGTTCAATCCCCTCTTTCTTTCTTCTAATTTTGACATCACAGCTTAGCCTTTTTGCTCTAGGGTAAACATTTTGATAGGCTGACTTTGTCAAGGTAAGAGCGGCCTGCCATCAAAGCAAACAGGGTATTCTACCCTGACATTTTGGGCCCTACTTGGCACTACAACAGCTGCTGTCTTTAGCATGGACGGGGCACAGCTGCATTGTGAGTTTCTACGGTATAGATTCACACTTGATACGTACACACCATGTCCTACATAAGAGGGAACATTACAAATGCCCAGAATAACACCAACTAAGCCATCGCATCGGCATTCATGGAGAATCTGTGATGTTGCTTCTCGGATCACAACACCATCTCCCCATGCATTATTTTCCCATTCCCTTCTTCTTTAAAACTTTCCACCAATCAGCTTAGCAGCAGCTGCAGCGTGTGCAGGGCGCGTCCAAGTAGGGCGCGTAAGGTTGTGCGCGGGCTGTGCGGGCAGGACGCATGCAGCACCGGTCGTAAGGGCAGCGCGCGGGCGGCGCCAGCGGCGTGCGGGCAGTGCACGGGCAGGGCGCACGGTGCGCGGGCAGGGCGCTGGCGGTGCAGGCAACGCGCAGGCAGTGCGCGAGCGAGGCAGGCAACGCACGGGCAGGGAACGCAAAGCGCGGACAGCAGCAGCAGCATGCGGGCAGTGCAGGCAGCGCGTAGGCAGCGCAGGCAATGTGCGGGCAGGGCGCGTGTAGGCCTCAGGCAGCGAGTGTCAGAGGTCCATTGGAGATCCCCGATTGATAATAAGAAAGGGTTACAGACACGTCGGCTGGGGGGTTATGGGCGCACTCACCCGCTACACAAATAAGCCCTTTTATCCCTATGGTTTGTGGCTGTGATTCTGACAGCGCGCGTGCAGGCAGCGCAAGCAGGGCGCGAGCAGGGCAGCGTGCGGGTCACGCGCTAGGCAGCAAGCGGGCAGCGCGACGGGCACGGAAGCGCGAGTGGGGCAGCGCAGGTAGAGCAGCGTGGGGAACGGTGTTTGGCAGGGCAGTACGGGAAGTTCGTGCAGTTCAGGCAGGTCTAAACTAGTGGTGGGCCCTAACGAAGCAGTCCTACAGATGGACCCGCTTTGAATACCATGTGAGAAGTAGTACGTAGGAATGATTTGTCAAACTATCATGTTGTGTGTAGTGTAGGTTGTAGTGTGGTAGTCTATATGGGATACAACCCAATTAGGGTTAGCACTTGTACCACATTCATGTTCAATACATTCATTCCTGCTCGTTAGATTCTGACATGATTGACTAGGATTCAAGGATGATTACAAGTACTAGGGTTGACCTAAAGTGTTGTACCCCTTAGGGTATGCCCCACTACAGCCTAGAGACATACAAATGCAATTTGACAAATGCTACACTGCTACCGTAATTAGAGAAGTCAATATCCAAACATACGCCATGGTGCCCCTGTGTTGTTCCATCAACATGATGACAGGTCATAGTGCAATTCCAAGGGGTCAGCCCCCCACAACAACATCACCTGCCACTACAGCAGCAGCAACATAAACAGATGCAGCAGCAGAAACAGCAGAACCAGCAACCGCACACTGTATTTAAAGCAAGGGGGCAGTTTGGGGAGGGGGTGTGCCCGAAGGATTATCAGTGGGTGTGGCCATCGATTTCCGTCATGCGATGTTTACTTTATGCCTGACATCTTTTGGCACTACAGCAGCTGCTGTCAATAGTGTGGATGGGATACACAGCAGCATTGTGATAATAAGTCAGCTTGGATAAACTTCCATTTTATATGTACCAACCATGTCCTATTGCATAAGAAGGAACATTACAAATGCACAGAATCCCACCAGCTACGATACCGCGGCGGCCATCATGGAGAATCTGTAATGTTCCTCCTTTGAACACAACACCATCTCCCCATGCATCCTTCTCCCGTTCTCCTCTCCATCAAAACCTGCCACTAATCAGTTTGCTCGACAAGCTGCTGCTGGTGCCGGCAAAGCCAATGTAGAGCTGCCCACTGGTGCCCGCCTGGATGGCGCTGAGCACGGGCGCCAGGTCCGCCGGCGCGACAGTGAGCACATTGGCCAGCGACCACAACACGGAGCTCAGCAGCTGCCACGTGCCGGGCAGCTGCATCGCCACGGGTGGGGCTGCCTGGCCGCACGTGCTGTTGCCGCTGTAGATGGCCGCCGCCTACGGTGCCTCCGCCATGCCCGTCGCCACCAGCTCGTACGCCACTGCGTACGCCGAGCCCCTACCGTGCGGAAGTGGGGGACAGAGGGGGGAGGAGAGAGGAGAGGGTGCGGGTGGGGGTGGGGGGTTTGAACAACAAGGGATATTCATTATAAATGTAACCTTAGCTGGACGGCACTGGTTGTGAAAGTCAGAGCAGATTTGGATTGGAAGTCCAGGGAAGCAATGGTAAGACGGTTAAGAGAGACGATGCATGGTTCCGACAGGTAAGGGTGCAGGTTGGAGGAGAGTGAGGGGCTGTGGCTTACATGTTGGTGATCTGGATGTTGGCTGCTTCCACCGGGAGAAGGCCCTCACACGAGGTGAGCACGCCACACAGCATGCCTGCAGTGATGGGGATTATCAAGAGAAGCAGTAGATAGTTAGCTCAAGAAAAGCAGCAGATGGTGCAACTAACAGAAGCAGCAGATGGTGCAACAATGAGCAGCAGCAGGTGGTGCAACAAAGAGCAGCAGCAGGTGGTGCAATAAAGAGCAGCAACAGATGGTGCAAGGATGAGCAGCAGCAATAAATGGTGCAAAATGAGCAGCAGCAACAGAGATGATACAGAATGAGCAACAGCAGGAGTAGCAGCAGCACATGGTGCAAGAGTGAGCAAAAGCGACGCAAGGCTGTTAAGAATGACGAGCATTGTCGGGGAACAACAACAGCGCGGTTTGCAGAGTTAGGATTTGCGGGGTTGGGATTGTGGGGCGAGGGTTAGCGGGGTTATGGCGGAGCTGACCTGCTGGGTGCAGCAGCAGAGCCACGAGGTCCGCCACGCCAAGGGCGTCACTCAGCAGGGAGATCAGCGCGTCCACCTGTGCAGCGAGCGCCAACACGTTCACATTCATTGTGCCCACCCTCTGAGTGAGTGCCGCCACTCGCTGACTCAGCAACACGTGGATGTTAAGGAGAATTCCCGCCAGGTCCGTGTTGAGCGATGTGGCGCGCTTGTTGATGGCGGGAAGGCTGCTTGTAAGCGACGAGATGCGTGACTGGAGCGTGACGGGTGTCGCCTGGGGAGTAACGCCGCCAGGTCACGTGATTCTAAGGTATAAGATCTGGTCGAGGTTGGTAATGCGTGCGTTGAGAGCGTCAATGCTGCTCTGGAGGGCGAAAATCTGCGCTTGAAGAGCCAATGTCGCCGCGGATGCGTTGTCGTTCAGTGCAGTTGCAAGCTTGTCCAGTGATTGCGTCGGCGCTCCTTCTAATAAAATGACTTGGGCTTGTAACGCGGATGTTAGGTCGGACACGGTGCTACTGATGGTGCTGGTTACTTGAGCTGGTCGGTTCGGGAGGCGATTCCCGAGCAGTCCGGTGGAGCCGATTCTAGCCTGTGCGCATGATGCGAATAACGCGGTTACAAGCAGTGCCGCCACAAGCAAGGAGGCTTGAGGAGAACGCGCCATGGGGACAAAATGCGGGAAACACTATAGTAGGGAAAAAGTGCGGCGGTAATTGCTGCTGGTACCAGAACGTACGAATCTTATGCTACGTACTTTACTCGGCATCGCGGACAAGGAAATTTGCGATTTTGGGGGTCCGAAGGTTTTTCTGCAACAAGTCTGCGGTTTTCTTGCGCCAAGTATACAGAAAACAACGACCCCAAAAAGCAACTCTGAAGACAACAATTGCGAAAGTGCATACCGGCGCCAAAAGGTCACTCGAAAGTAATGAAAATATCGCATATTCGGTTTCGAGCGGTCAAGACAGATTGAAAACGGTTCCTTCTTTTGTTTGTCCCCACGAAAACTAGCGAAAATGTGAGTGTACGTACAACAATTTCGTGAATACACTAGTCAGAACACATTCGCTTTCTAGACACTTGGACTGTACACGTGGTCACAAAACATTCGTTTTCTTCAAATCTGCATCCCAACCACCCAGCCTAAACCACACACTCACACCTGGTTGGTTCTGAAGGGTGACGAGTGATCACACCAAAATCCTACTCAGCCAATCATTGTTGCTGTATACTCACTCCAAGTAATCACCACCCTTCAGCTTCTAAACGTCAGCATGCTATACACTCCAACCCAAGCAACATTCGTCCTCATCCTCCTCACACTTCTACTCCGTCCTTGCAAATACCTAGTCAACCTTCAGTTTACAGTTTCACGAACCACAACTTCATCTTCAATGCTCAACTAGAGCTTCGACTCCTATCGCTCTAGGTCCTTTTCACTTAGCTCACGTATCTCTTGGGGCACCATCAGTCAAGTTTTTGTACTCATTTCAATATGATGTCAGATCTATTTTTTCGTACGTACCACTGTCCGTCCCTATCATACGTTGTAGCCTCAGCCTGGACTGTCTCCATACCCTTGCAACCATCCGTTCCCCTTGGCAGATCGACGGATTTGGGCCATCGCGGAGGTCAGTCGTGCACTTAGCGACGTGAAAGCGCATGCTCAACAACTATTTCAATGAGACGTATTCGTTTCGCTGGTAAAGTATGCGTTTTTTTACACGCCATGGTATTCGTTTCGCTGGTGAGGTATGCGGTTTTTTCCACGCGATGATATTATTGTCGCTGGTAAGTTATGCGTTTCCTTCTACGCGATGGTATACGTTTCGCTGATAAGGTATGCGTTTCCATCTAAATGATGGTATTTGTTCTGGTGTTAAGGAATACGTTTATTTATACGCGATGGTATTCGTTTTGCTGGTGTAGTATACGTTTTTTCGCATTCGTAGTCTCTCAAAACGAATCCATCTTGCATACAACTATCTATTTGTTTAACACATCTAAGAAACCCTGTACATCGACGATTTCTCCCACCCGCTCCCTCTCCTCCCCTTCAAACTCCAACCTCCCATGACACTTTGCAGCCCATCGACTTGTTTTGTCTATCACTTGCGACTAATGCTGTCGCAATGGCATATCAGGATGACGGTTTTCAGGTCGTCGGTTTTCAGGTCGACAGATGTCAGCCTTCTCGCGATGGGCTTAAACGCAAGTATCGCCGCGAAGTATCCAGTTTAGGCCATTGTGTTTGCAGTTCCTATGTTCCGTAATTTTTACTGTTTTTTCTTTTTGCAACTCCTTACATCCCTAAAGCGCAATGTCAGCGGAATGCGTGTGTGTGCATGCTTTGCAGCTCCAACTGTCAGAATATTATAGCTTACTTATTTGTGTAGGCTATAAAGGGGTATCCCATAGGGGGTACAACCCAACTAGGGTTTCCTATTAGTACTCACTTCGTTCATAGTTTACTCATTCTCTCGTTCATTTCTTCTCATGGTATCGAGCAGGTTCCCCTGTGGGAACTTTGCTTAGGGCCCACCACTTCGGAAATTTTTTTCTGCCCTAGCGCCCTAGCGCCCACCCTTGCGCCCGCCCTAGCGCCCTAGCGCCCGCCCTAGCGCACGCCCTAGCGCCAGCCCTAGCGCCCGGCGCCTGCCAGTGTTTCCCAGCGTCTGCGTGGTGGGGCGTTCGGTCTCTGCACCTACGTCCTTCGCACCGGCGACCGCGTGGGTGAGCAGTGTGGGGGCACCCACACCGCCCGCCGCTGCTTTGCCCGCCTGACCGACGCTTGGCGCCAGCAGTTTCCGGAGGCCTCTCAGATCCCCCGCTGGAGAGAGCTGTCTAGGGCTGGTGTGGCTATCTTTGATCTTGACATTGATGCTATCCTTGCTGCCATGTATGCTGTGACTGTTAGTGATGAGGGTGACTGTTACCGGTGTTTCCCGCCCGACCCGGGCATTGGTACTGCTGCGTCAGGTGCCAGTGAGGCTGCTGCTCTGGGTGCCAGTGCGTCTGTGCTCTCAGGTCCTAGTGAGTCTGCACTCTCTGGTACTGTGTCGGCTTCGGCCTCTCACACCTTCACCCTTGACTCTGGGGCGTCTCGTTCCTTCTTTCGAGACCGCACCACTCTCACGCCGCTTAGTCGGCCGGTTGCGGTATCCCTGGCTGACCCCTCTGGGGGTCCTGTCCTGTCTCGTTTCTCCACAGTCCTCCCGTGTCTGGCGGCTCCCTCTGGCGCCCTGACTGGTCTCTACCTCCCCTCGTTCTCTACGAACCTGGTGAGTGGTGCAAACCTACAGGATGTGGGTGTCCACCACTTCACTCCTGCTCATCAGCGGGTGACACACTGCACAGAGGCTAGCACAGGTCGCCACCTGGCTATGTTTACACGTCAGCCAGGGTCGAGCCTGTACACACTGACCACTGCTTCTCCTCCCGGTGCTGAGTCTGGTAGAGTCCCTTCGTCTGGTCAGGTGTTTGCTGCAGCGTCCAGGTCTGGTCCTGAGTCTGTCCCCTGTTCGTGTCGCCGTCTGTCTCACGAGACTCTCCTCTGGCACCACCGCCTTGGCCACCCCTCTCTGCTTCGGCTCAGAGGCATGGCCTCCCGTCTTCTTGTGTCTGGTCTCCCCCGGTCCCTCCCTCCCCTTCCTCAGGGCCCTGGCTCTGCCTGTGTCCCGTGTGTCGAGGGGCGCCAGCGCGCTGCCCCTCACTCCTCCCAGTTTCCTCCGACAGAGGCTCCGTTGCAGACGCTTCACATGGACGTGTGGGGCCCTGCCCGTGTCCGTGGACTCGGTCACGAGCGCTACTCCCTGTTGGTGGTTGACGACTACTCGCGTTACACCACAGTCTTCCCCTTGCGCAGCAAAGATGATGTCACTGAGGTGCTGATCGACTGGATCCGCGCAGCTCGTCTCCAGCTCAGGCAGAGCTTTGGCTCGGACTTTCCTGTGTTGCGTCTGCATTCGGACAGAGGCGGAGAGTTCTCCTCTGGCCTTCTCCGTGCCTTCTGTCGTGCGCGAGGCATCCGCCAGACCTTCACGCTTCTGGACTCGCCGCAGCAAAATGGGATTGCAGAGCGCCGCATTGGCATGGTCATGGACGTCGCTCGTACGTCTATGATGCATGCGGCTGCCCCCCATTTTTCAGTGGCCGTTTGCAGTTAGGTACGCGGCGCATCAGATCAACCTCCACCCCAGGGTCTCCAGGCCGGAGACCTCCCCAGCCCTGCTGTGGACGGGGAAGGTTGGCGATGCGTCGACATTCCGGGTCTGGGGATCTCGGGCGTTTGTCCGCGACTTGTCTGCGGACAAGCTGTCCCCTCGCGCTGCTCCCTGCGTCTTCCTGGGGTTCCCCCCCGACGCCCCTGGGTGGCAGTTCTACCACCTCACCTCTCAACGTGTTCTGTCCTCCCAGGACGTCACGTTCGACGAGTCGGTACCCTACTACCGCCTCTTCCCCTACCGCACTCCGTCCCTCCCCCCCCCCCCCCCCGCTCTTCTTGGTACCAGGTCCCCCCCCCGATAGACCCCCTCCCCCCTCAGGGTCTTGCCCCTTCAGGTGTATCCTAGGAAGACGCGGTCGAGGTCACTGGTGACTCTGGTGCTGCTGCGGGAGCTGAGCCTAGGGGTGCTGGGATTGGAGGTGCTACGCCTGGGGATGCTGAGCCTGGGGGTGCGGAGTCTAGAGGTGCTGAGACTGGGGGTGCTGAGCCTGGGTGTGCTAAGACTAGGGGTGCTGAGCCTGGGGGTGCTGAGCCTGGGGGTGCTGAGTCTGGGGGTGCTGGACCTGGGGGTGCTGAGCTTGGGGGTGCTGAGACTGGGGGTGCTCCGCCTGGAGGTGCTTTGCCTGAGGGTGCTGAGCCTGGAGGTTCTTTGCCTGGAGGTTCTCCGCCTGGAGGTGCTTCGTCTCGCCGAGAGCCACTCTCCCCACAGGAGCTACGTAAGTGGTTTGCCCGGCGCTGGAGGAGTGTTGCTGGTGCTGGAGGTTCTTCGGCTGCAGAGGGTGCTGCTGTCACGCATCCCGGAGGTGCTCGTGCTGTGGGTGCTGGAGCTGCTGGGCCTGAGGGTTCTCCTGGAGCTAGAGCTGCTGGGGGTGTTGGTGCTG